CCCCAAGTGGAAAACCCATAATGAGGAGCCCTGTGTGGACTCTATTGACTCACTCGACTCAAATAAAAGATGACTGGCCCGCAGCTCCAGCCTCCTGTATTCCTTTTCAAAGAGCAAGAAGCGCTGCTGGTGAAAGGGGTTATTTTCTCACAGGTGTTTGATTTAACACACTTTTGGACAACAGCACTATAACCACAGGGTGACGAAGTGTGTGAGCTACTTTTAATGATATAGCGTGCCTCGTCTCACAGGCACACGGAAAGGAAGTACATTTCACAAGACCTGGTCATTTACTTCAATTTGAAGCGACCTACAGTATGTATAGGGCTAAACCCACACATCCTGCATTACAAGACCCCCCTACACTCCCTCTCCCATACACCTATACAGTCACATACTGGTTTAGCTGTGGAGTTTTCTGTAGCAAAACAAACAAATGTGATCCAAGTTAAGTCAGGTCCTCTGGACGGATTATTCTCGTTGCAATGTTTCATCTTTTATCCAAAAGACTTCTTCAGTCTGACGAGTTGCGGCAAACTCAGTCTTGTAAATAGCACCTTGCCATAGCGGATCAACCAGTTTGCTGGTGACAGCCAGAACTAGCTGTTCACCAGTAAAAAAAGATTGACAGCTGGTCTGCAGAGGAGTGTGAACCGCAGAGTCCTGGCCTGATGCGGTCTACGCTCACCTGCAAGCCAGCAATCAAATCACTCTTAGGGATGAAGATGTTCACATCCTTGATAGGGAAGAACGTTGGTTTGAGAGAGGCGTGAAGGAGGCCATCTTTGTGAAGAGAAACCGTCCAACCAGGGGTGGAGGTCTTCGTGTCCAGCTGTCCCCCTCTTACAATGCTGTTATTGTTAGCATCACTCAGCCGTCTGAACAGCAAGCAGCCATCATGGTGCTAACGATCCATCGTTACGCTGATGATCCTCCTCTTACATGTGAACAGCTAGTTTTGGCTGACACCAGCCAACTGGCTGATCCACTATGAGAAGGTGCGGCGTTTCCCCTGGATCAGTTCCCTTGGCATGGCATGGCGCTCGTCACCCTTTTTACTTTTTTGGTCGACGGGGTGAGTACGGGACGGAGTCGCGTCTGTGTTGGTCTCTAGCTTAATGCTACGTTGCTGCCGTTTTTTTTAATCGACGGGATGTAGGGGGGTAGAAGCAAGTGGTCCGTCGTAGCATTAGTGTGTTTGTATTGTGCACCGTGCTACATGAATACCGACAGTTGACGGGGGGGTGTTTGGGTAAGCAGGGCGCTCGATTCTGTTGACGGGGCGCCCTGCTTGTACAACGTAAGGGAAACACTGAGGGGCTATTTATAAGACTGAGTTTGCTGCAGCGCCTCAGACTGAAGAAGTCTTTTGTATAAAAGATGAAACAAGAAGAAGAAGAATAATCCGTCTAGACGACCTGACTTTACTTTTTCTACCTGGATTGTTGAGCATGCATCAGGAGATGCTAATGTGATCGGATTTATTTTATTTATTTATTTACGAGGTTAAGTTAGTTAGTAAGTGTAGAGAAACCCACAGCAGATTCTGCTGCATCATCAGCAGCAGCAACGGAAAGAAATCATTTTCTGTCTGTCAATCTCTTGCATTGAATTTTGCCCCACTCTTGTTTACATCGTTTCGATGCGTTGAGGTTTGGAGACGTTCTCTTCTACGACCTGCCACAGACATTAACATTTTTAGGCGTCCTGTAGTTCACACGCTGCTGCGTTTAATTTCCTTGTTCCTCGTGTGTCGGACAGATTCCTCTTTGACTAGAAAATGCTTCGCTCAACAAAAGGAGTTCATGGTCGACTCAGTGACGGCAAGCTGCTCAGATCCTGTGTCTGAAAAACAAGCTGTCATAAATCAAAACTTTCAGCTCTTTCAGGACAATCCTGCTGAGACTTTTGCTATTGGAGCAACTTTAGCTTTTTGAAATATTTAGCCTTTTCTGACTTTTTTTTTCCTCATAGAATGAACCGAGCTCATTTGACCTCCTTCGTATCTTTAGATGTGTTTACAACCTTTTACTGCTCCTTCCACGTTTTGTTCTGCTTCAGCTTCTTTCAGCTTCCTGCTGCTAATTTAAACTTTTTTCAGCTACTTCCAGCTAATTTCAGCTGTTTTGTGCTCCTTTCAGATTCTTTCCAACAACGTTTTTGTGCTTGTTCCAACTTCTTTCTGCTAATTTCAGCTGAGTTTATTTATGCTCATTTCAGATTTTTCTGCTATTGAAGCTACTTTTAGCTGTTCTAAGGCTAATTTAAGCCTTTTTGGCTAATTCCACATTTTTTTTTTGTACTCAAACTTTTTTCAGCCTAATTCAGCATAAAGTGCTCTCTTCACTCCCTTCTCGTTTCAGCTTCTTTCTGCCTTT